GTCATACAACCTAGTTGTAAAAACACCAGTATTAAACAAACCTAGGTCCATATCCTGACTCTACCATGTATTCTTTGTAATAGCTATAAAAATAATACCTACCTCTTTGAGAGTTATACAATTCAACCATCTGATGTAGATAAAGTGCTTTGCATGATTCCTAACACAAAGTAAGTGCTCAATAAATGAGAGCTCTTGTTAATAAATGAAAAGAGGAAAGTGAAACTCATTTTCTGAACATCTACTATAAATCAGGCACTGTATTGGTGGGGTTATATTTTTATCTCATTTACCCCTATCAACTACAAAGCAAAATGGGCAATACCAAAACCACCAAACCAAACCCACTGCCACCGAGTCATAGGCCAGTATACAACTGATCCACAAGGTTTCCAAGGCTGTAAATCTTTACAGAAGCAGACTGCCTCATGTTTCTCCTGCAGAGCAGGTGGTGGGCTTGAACCACTGACCTTTTAGTTACCTGACCAAAATTTTAACCATTACACCCCCAGAGCTCCCAAATGGGTAACAGTATTCTCATTTTTGTACACAAAGAAACTAAGACTCAGAGGCACTCAGCTTCGGGGTCCTGCTCTCCTCTCCCAAGTATGACAGTCCACATTTCCCCACCTGATTAATGCCCCCATTAGCCATAAGGCTAACGACACTTATCAACTTCAATTTTTCTTTGGAGGTATAAAGTGTGACTTAACTGAAAGTAACTCAACCATTAGCAATAATTAAGTTTGTCCAAATCATCCAAATTTGTTTTCATAATTATCTTTTTGTATTTTAAAAAGAAAAACAAATCGCACCTGTGGGTACAAAAGGAGCAACTAGGAGAGGTGCCGTGGATTAACACGATAGCAGCACAAGGAATGCAAAGCCACTTGGCAATCCAGAGAAACAAATCCTCCCATTCTATAGAGTAGAGAAACTGGAATGAGGCAGAGTTACCACCAGCTCTCACTCAGGGTTCCACAAGTGACACTTCCCTTTACAAATCTGGGCTTTGTCCGTTTTGGAATCTATTTCCTCTATTTTGTACCACACAAATTATTGCTCCTTCTTCAAAATCCAGTTCAAATCTCCTTTTTAGTAGCTTTCTATGGCACCCCTTTATAAAGTTAATCGCCTAAATGTGCTCCAGTAGCACAATGTATTCCTAGTTCATAACTTTTATCTCACTATATTGTGAGATTTTAGGTATCTGCTTCTCCCATTACTAGTAAATTTCAGGGAGCAAGAGGAGGATGGAAGGTAGCAGGCGTGTGTGAATATGTATAAAAACGTGTATTTAACATGATAATTTCTTCGACTTGTTTTTTGTCAGAACCTTTAATATACTTGGAAATTTCAAATATCATTAAAGAAGAGCATGGGGTTTGTCTTTTTATCTAAACGGTGCATGAGTTTTACAAGTCTGCGAAACACTAAGCTGAAACAGAACCCTACAGGCAAGGACCATGTTTTATTCATTTCTGTATCCTTAGCACCCAGCACAGGGCCAGGCACAAAGTAAATGTGAGTAAATGTTTGCTGAATGAATTAGTATGCCCAAAGTCACAATGCTAAGCTCTCTGGAATCAGAACATTCCAGAACAGTGCAGGGCACTAAGCACCAACCAAAGCTTCTTTTCTTTCCCCTTTCTTTCTCCTCTCTCTCTCTCTTTTCCCTTCCAGCTCACCCCATCCTGTCCTCCCCAGTTTAGAGAGAGAGAGAGAGAATTACTTTGGTGCCGGAATACTATTAAAAGGATTAATTTAGGGACCGGTGTTTGGACTGTCACATCCAATCACTACCCACAGATCTACAGCTTCCCAAATCAGGCTCATGCAAAGAGGAATCAATTGCAAGGACACAGAGGGTCTGAACAGGCATACTAATGGCCTCCCGAGGTGCCAGCGGCCAGCTCTGACACTCCCATAAATTATCTGCCTTTTGATTTTACCTGTAGCTGTGGGGCACAAGGCACAATTTTGAACATATCAAAGCAATCCTTCGTAACCCAAGGCTCTCCCAGGAATGTCACCAAAGGAGGATGGGATAAAAACAATGACCCAAAGGGAATCTGCTTCCCAAACAGGCCTGGTCTTAGCAGTCATCAATTAAAACCCAACAGGACCAAGTGGATAAAGTGGGACCCAAATTAAGCCTAGCACATCTGGACAAGGCATGCATCAAACTGCAGTTGTACAATGATTATTCATCTCTCACTCAAGGGAAGAGAAATCACAGCAATAAACTAACACAATTTCATCTGGAAGCAAATCTGCTCTAGCTCTGACAGCAACTCACAGCATGACCTCAGGCAACTCACTTAACCTTCCTGGGCCTCAGTTTCTTCACATGGGTAGCAGGGACAATAATGCTGACCGTCTGACCTACTTCCCAGAGTGGTGGTTAAAAGTAATACAAAACATTTGAAAGGCACTTTACAAAGATGTAGGGCCACAATGATGACAACACTGAAAAATCATCCCAAACATGATATGGATTATCATGCTTTAGTGAGTTTCTTTCAGGAAGCACTCTCTAAATCTGCTTCACTGATGATGTTGGGGATAAGATCCCCCTGAAGAAAGCTCTAGGATTCTGGATGGGACTCCTGCTGTCTGAAAATTTCCCATTAGGAAGAACAGTGCCTTGCTTTCATTATAACTTCCTCCTGTCTACTGGCTGCAACAACCTTGGGCTATGCTTCTATTACATGGCCACAATGACAACTAGGAAACAAATCCAAAACAAACTAAGCCAAAGGCCAAGTCACCCAATTGCTGACCATTTTTTAAAAAATATTATGTAAAATATCGTTAATAATAAAAGTTATTAAGGCAACGTCCTAAGAGCTTTATATACATTATCTCATTAAATCCTGTCACCAACCCTAAGAAGTTCTATATTTCCATTTTACAGATGAGGGAAACAAAACTTAAGAGAGGTAAGTCACTTGCCCAAGGTCACACAGTGTTATCAAATACGTATAGGATCCAGCAACCCAAGTTCACTGGGACCTATAGGAAGAGAAAGATAAAGAGTAGACACAGGACCTTCACCTCTAACCTATTCACTGGACACTAAACAAATACTTTATTTGGTCCCTTTGCCTGACATGTACCATAAAACCCAAACTGGGAGATATTTTCCAAACCAGGAAAAGGTCTTCGGTTTGCCACATGCAAGGAAAAGAGAAACTGAGGAGGACATATACAGGATAAAGGACAATTCACTGGAAAGCTTAGGAAATGGGTTTTGCTCTTTGTGTACATTCAAGTGGCATTAAGTTGTGAGCCTCAAAACTAAAACCTCTTTCTAGGGTCCATCTATTCCACATTCCTTCAATAGAAAATAATTTCTAAACCCCTTTATTTGATTCTATACCAACTTCCTCTTCCTGTATCTTTGCCAGTCTATAAAACAGAAGCTGATATCTCCTGTATATTCTTTGATAAACATCCTTTAAGCTCCTTATAGACAGCCAGGAAATGAGTATCAGTATACACATTTACACAAAGACTGAGTTATGCCCAATTTTTAAAGGCCAAAATATTGCCACAAAGAGAGAAATATGTAAAGATGCTATCCATGTAATTGCCACAGCCTCCCCACTGGTCTCTCTGCCTCCAATCCATTCCTTACAATGAAATTAAAGCACACCTTCTAAAGCACAAATCTAACGTCAGCCCACTGCTTAAAACTTTTATCAGCTCCTCATTACTCTTAGGATAGTCTAATCCAGGAGTCAGAAAACTATGATCCATGGGCCAATCCAGCCCACCACCTGTTTTTATAAATAAAGTGTTATTGGAAGACACCCATGCTCATTTGTTTATCTACTATCTATGGCTACTTTCACACTACAACAGTAGAGTTGAGCAGAGTAGTTTCAACAGTGACCTGCAAAGTCTAAATATTCAGTATCTAGCCCTTTACAGAAAAATATGCCAGCCCCTGGTATAATCCACCACCTAAACCCTGCCCCACTCAGTCCCTCTGCTAATCTTTCCATCTTGTCTCACCATATTCTCCTGTCCCCTGCCCATTAAAGACTATTTCAACCACACTGAACTTTAGTTTCTCAAACTCCACCAAAGCTCTGATTACATCCGTCCCTCATCTCTTGATTTAATTCTAAGCAAGGAGGTTATTTCCTCTGAAAAGTCTTCCTTGAGCTCACAAGTCCAGGTTAGGGCCCCTTCTAAGTATTCCTATACCCCTATTTTCCCTGGTATAGCACTCACAGAGCATACTATAACTGCTTCTTACTCTTTGTCTCCTCTATAAATCTATAAACTCCTTGGCCTCATAGACAGCAACTGTCTTGTTCACCAATACAATCCCACATCCAGCAAAGTGCTGGCCCTTAGAAGGCTCTTTGTTGTTGTTGTTAGGTTGTTGTTGTTGTCACTATGAGTTGAAGCCGTTGAGTCGGCTTCAACTCATAGTGACCCTATGTACAGCAGAACAAAACACAGCCCAGTCCTAGTAGGCTCTTAGTAAGTATTTATTGAACAAATGGCCTCAAGAGTCCCTGGATATCAATCATCAGAGTCTACCTTTTTAGAGAGTCCCTGATCCTTACAAAATGGAGATAAGCTGGGATTATCACTTAAAGGTGACCCATAACCCAAAATAAATCAAGATTCCAAAAATCAAATGCATTATCAAAAGCCAAAGGAATGTGGTTTTTCCTATAGTCTTAAGATACGTATTTCCAAGGAGAAAGGGCTGTGCTGGCCCTACTGAAGCACCCTAAACCTAAAGCAAGTGCTCATGAGATAGCCATAAAGTTATCATGAGAGAACTCCAGGATTTGTACCCTCCACCTCCAACTTCTACCACTTTATAGACTTTAGAGGAGTTTCAACAGGCTTTGAGCATATGCTGCTTTATCAGAAGAAGCAATAGAAAAGTATAATCTGCACCTGCTCCCTAACCCCACCCACAAAGCCCAAATATTTAGAAGAATTCAAATTTGAACATGCAACAGGATTCTCACCTCTCCTCACTTCGAAGATGCCAAGACTGGCAGCAGGAGATGCTGAATGTTCTGTGAGAGCTGGAAAGCCCCAATGCTGTGGATAAATACAGATTTCTGCAACAAGTCTATTTCAACATTAAGGATCAAATTCCCATAGGGCTACTGTTTGCAACAATTTAAGGACCACACTGTGCTTCAAATTCCTAAACCAAAACTACTCTGGGATTGAACTATGTAGGGCAGTGCCCCTGTAGAGCTTTCAGAAGCTACTTGTGCTGTAATTTGTTTGGGGAATGATGAATTTTGTGTTTTCCAGTTGGGCAATCTACTTCTGTAGTGATACCGCCTCGGAAACCCAAGGAGGGGTCGCTATAAATCAGACCTGACGTGACAACAATGAGTTTGGTTTTTTTGTTTATACTTGTCTAAGGTTTATCTCATAAAAACACTGAACATTTACAATATCTGAGCTCAGACTGATGGCCATGAAGGATAATCCCAGACCTTAGCTAAGTATGGGAGGTACTGGCAAGGCTGACAGTATTCAGAAGTCAGGGAAGTAAGGATGGACTAAAGTTGGTGGAGAGTTCACAAACTTACAGATCACATTGCAAATGGCCACACAGACCACGGAATAATTCCAGGATACTTTCAGTTCAAGTTCTAAGACAGTCGAGGTAACTAAACCACAAGTCAAATCATCAATAGACATCTACCCTATTTACCACCTAATGCAGATCTTTCAAAGGACTAGAGGTTGCAGAGGTGTGACCTGGTGGGCTAACACAAACATCTAGGATTGGAACCAATCTGTACCTATCTACCACTCTACACATTCAAGATTTTATTCTACTGATATCTTCTAGGAAAATGCCACTCACCAACTTAACCCACCACAAAGAAAATGTTTTTCAAAATGAAAGGGAATACACTTTTATTTGCAAATTTCAAGTTGGGAGGAGAACTCTTATTCAAGCTCTATAACCTAGCTAGCTGATTATTTACAGGATCTTTGGGCAGGAATTGTTAATGAGCTTTTAATTTGGAGTGCTTAAGTTGCCAAAGTGCTCTGAGCTCCACTGAAGCACCACAGAATCCATATAAAGGAAACCTTATCAATCACTTCCCAGCAGCTCCCTTCCCCCATCCCCACCTCTCTGAGGAAAGGCAGCCAAGTGGGTTTCTAACTGAGATCACAGACACACACATTAGTGAAGTCACACTCCAAGTCCCTGTTTATAAATCGGCTTTTAAATGGTAAGGGACTCAGGTATAATATACTTAGACTCCACTCACAAACCCACTAAAACAAGGAATGCTGTGTATGATAAAGTCAGAATAAAGCAGAATTTGATGAAGCCAATTTCTGGTAGCAACTACAATCAAAAATCATTCAGCCAATCACAGTCTACTCTACAGTTCAAATTTGAGTCTAGTCTTTAGCCAATAGGATTCATGTTTAGCTGCCCTTCACCTGGGAAACTGATGAAATGTCTGACAAGAGTAAATGCCATAGAAGTGGCCAGAGACCTTTCTGGCAGAGGCAATAACGGACACTTATCAGTTTGCAAAATCTAACCCTAAGGTCAGAATCCAAACCCCAAATGAGGGAGCCCCACAACATCTTCCAAATCAAGAAGGAGCAGTTATTATTTTGCAAGAACTCACAGTTAAGTCCCAATCCAAGTTCGTGCTTTTTTGTTTTAAGAAAACACCTGTTGCTGAACCACTTGCAGGAAAGACAAACAGCTAGCCACATTAGGCCCCATATCATTCCTTCTACCATCACCACTACAACCACTATGCGTTTACAAAAAGGGAACCTGCTAACCTGGTGTGTCTGTGTGTCGAGGAGGAAGAAAGGAGATGTTCTATCTACTATTATCTCCTTGCTCGGTTTCTATTTTTGGTCAAATCTTTCTCTTCCCTAGTAATCTCAAGAAGTCAGCCTCCTTAATCACCTCACCTAAGTCTGTCTTCAAAAGCCCTACCCAGTTCCCTCTCCATTAGAACGTTACTCAGGATCACGCACTCAGGGTTAGCATATGGACCAATACCCCAGACTACATAAACTACGCGCCGCGACCCTCACCCCGCATGCATTAACCAGGGCCCAACCTGGGGGGCCTGCCCGCATCACCCACCCCGGGGTGTTGCCCCCAACTCGGGCCCATCCAAGTCCAGGGGAGCGTAAGAGGAGGCGCAGGGGACCAGGAGACCAGCCCTCCTTCCCAGGGCCGCCCCCGTCCCCCGTCAGCTGCGGGAGAGGTTGTCGCCATGGCAACGCCCCCTCCTCGGGGCCAGCGCCGCAGGCTCCTTTCAGGTGCAGGCCCCGATGTCTCCCCCGGCCTCAGCAGGCGCTCAGGGGAGTTTACGGCGACGGGCGCGGCCCGCGCCGACTGTGGCGCTGACCAGGCCGACGCAGGACCAGCTCCGCCCGCTCCCCACCGCCCGTTCCCGGCCGCCTCAACAGCGGCAGCCAGCACCACGAGTCCACAACACACCGACTCACCTCCGCGCACTCTGACCCCGACCGACGCAGCAGACGGGCGGGCGCTGTGGCCAACCGCAGAGCCTGCTGCCGGCTCCTTCGACCAATGGGCTGCGGGGGGGCGGGGCTTCTTCTCTCCAAATGCTCGCTCTCCCGCCGACATGCGCGCTAAGGTGTGTCAATACGATGGCTCCCATCGGCCAGCCTTATGGGACTTGTAGTTTTGATGTTACGTGTACTGAAAGGAGAGTTAATGGGGGGGGTAGATCGGGTTCAGCTCTGAGATGGGAAGGGATTTCTTTAAAAAACGAAAACTTCTAAGGCCTAGAGCGATCCAGCTGGTCTACCTCCTTTTTCTCCATCTTCCAATGTACTCATAAAGAGATATGTAATATTCAGATAATGACATCTTTTCATGATTTGTCCAGTCGACAAGTAATTATCGTCTACTGTATGGTTGGGAGGGAGCTCTGGTAGCATAGTGGCTAAGGCACTTGACTGCTACCCAGAAGGCTGGCGGTTCAAACCCACCAGCCACCCCTCGGAAGGAAGATGGAGCAATCTACTTCCGTAGTGATACTGCTTTGGCAACCCAAGGAGGAGTCACTAAAGTCGGGTCTGATTGGGAGCTCTGGTGGTGTAGTGCCTAAGGTATTTGACTGCTAACCAAAAAGCTGGCAGTTCAAACTCACCAGCCACTTCTTGGAAGGAAGACTGGGCAATCTACTTCCGTAGAGATACCGCCTCAGAAATCCACGGAGGGAGTTTGGTTTTCTGGTTTACTTTTTGATTAAGGAGCCCTGGTTGCGCAGTGGTTAAGAGCTCCGCTGCTAACCAAGAAGTCAGTGGTCCCAACTCACAGACCCACCAGCTGCTCTGCAGGAGAAAAGACCTGGCTGGCAGTCCGCTCCCATAAGGATTTTCAGCCTAAGAAACCTTTTGAGGCTGTTCTACTCTGCCCTATAGGGTCACTATGGGTCAGAATGGACTGGACAAAATGGTACAACTATATGAGAAAGGAATCAAAGGTGTCGTGTCACATTTCAGGGAGATCTGAGAGGAGAAGGATTTTAACCTAATAAGAATATGTTCAGCTTTCTGAAGGGCTTTCCTAAGGAAAAAGGAGCGCTGATGGTGTAGTGGTAAAACCATTTGGCTGCTAAACAAAAGATCTATGGTTTGAACCTACCAGCAGCTCAGCAAAAGAAAGATGAAGCAGTCTGCTTACCTAAAGATTTATAGCCTTGGAAAGGGAGTCATTATGAGTCAGAATCAACTCAATCACAGTGAGTTTGGTTGTTGGTTCTTTTGTTTGTTTGGTTGGTTGGTTGGTTGTTTTTTTCCCCTAAAGAATAGGGAACTGACTTGTTCAGGACTGCTCCAGAGGAAATTTCAAGGTCTCAGCTGTAGTGATAGAAGAGAACTCTGGTCAAAGCCAGAAACTTATTTCTTCATCTTGGTTATGGCTCTCTGCGCAGTTATGGGTACCAAGTTATGAGGTGGGAAACCTCAGGCTTGGCCAAACCATTGCTGGCTTTGACAGCCTCCCAGTAAGCCAAGACCCATCTTCTGGGCCCAGCTTCAGTTACTAAGCACTTCTGTCTGCCACCTGCATATTTTCACTTAACACAGTGATGTCATTTCTGGGCCCTACCACCTCTGTGAGATATGACCTTAATAATAGTTCCCATCTGTGATAGTTGGAGTTGTGTGTCAATTTGGCTGGACCACAATTCCAATTTGTTTAAACAGTTGGGATGTGAGTTATTCCCATGATGAGATCAGATGTATATGATCTGAGAAGCCAATCCATTGAAAGGGAGTTTCGCTAGGGGTGTGGCCTGCTTCCAATATATTTATGGATATCGTGGGAAAAAGAGACACACTTCTGTGGATTGGGATCATGTTGTGCTGCCTACAACTTTCTGTGAGCAAACAAGCCACCATTCAGCCTGGATATCTTGGATTTGTCATTCATTGGAGTCAACAGCCAGTATACTACCTGCCAATCTTGAGCTCATCAGCCCCTGCAGCTGTGTAAGTTGGGAAAAGCCTCCAGCTTGACGTTTGATCCAAAAACGTGGAAATTGCCAGCTTCTATAAGTGTGTGAGCCATTTTCCTAAGATAAATTTCTCACTCTCTCTATATATATGTTTTACTGGTTTTGCTTCTTTAGAGAACCCAGCCTAACACAGTTGGTACCGAAAATGGTTCTAAAGAGACAGAATCATAGGGATGGGCTTCCTAAATTGCTTCTCACTAATTCTGTTTTGGTTCTCCAATTTGATTAATCATAAAGGCACTCTGCCTCCATTAGTAAAGATTGTTGTTGTTGTTGTTGTTAAGTGCCGTCAAGTCGTTTCCAACTCATAGCGACCCCATGCACAGCAGAACGAAACACTGCCCGATCCCGTGCCAGCCCCACAATCCCCGCTATACTTGAGGCTATCATCGCAGCCACCGTATCAATCCATCTCCTTGAAGGCCTCCCCCTCTTTTGTCGACCCTCCACCCTACCAAGCATGACATCCTTCTCCAGGGAATGGTCCCTTCTGACAACATGACCAAAATAGGTG